AGGCAATGTGGGCATGGTGTCTTGCCTAAGGACACAACAACAATTTCCATTAGATTCCCCTCTGTGGCACCTGCTATTCCCAGTGGTCCTCATCAAAGTACTAACCAGGTTCAACCCTGAATAGCTTATGATAGTAGTTTTTCAATGAGGATTTTTAAAAAAATATATAGTAATGTTCTACACTATACAGCATCCATCTTTAAAGGTGCATTGTGTAACTTTTCTGGTCAATTCTGATCTGGTCTCTATTGTTTTGTCTGGAATGTTTCACAGTATGGCATTAAACCTTTCTATCTTCATGGAGACCAGACCAAGTTGCAGGACAGATCTGTGGAGAGGCGACCCCGCTGTTTTTCTAGATATTTTTGAGCTATAAAACCACATGTAATTTAATAAACGTAAGCTAGAGTTGTTTAAATGGAAAGTCTGTAATTTTGGACATTGGACTTCATTTCCTAATGAGCCAGAATGTTGGAGACGTGTGGAGACACTTTTTGAAATATTCCATCCAGTCCTTGTATTTGCAGACGTCACTGGTGCTAGGCTAGTGCATGTCAATGGCCATAGTTAGCCTGCAACTAAAAACAGTCTTTCCCACTCCACAAAACACCCGAAGCAAATCTATTATTATACCAGACTGTCCATGTGAATGTCTGTGTTGGTAGAATCATTTTAGAAGTAAAACCAACCTTGCATTTGAAAGATTTATGTCTGAGCAGCAGCAGTGAGTTGTACTTCTTGATAGGAAACTCGGCAGCGGCGGACTGATATATGAGAAAATAGTTCCTCAACATGTGACGATTTGTGTGATGCAAGGTTAGTTTTATTTTAAACATTATTCTATCAACACAGACATTCACATGGACAGTCTGGTGTAATAATAGATTTGTTTCGGGTGTTTTTAGTGGCAGGATAACTATGGCCATTGACATGCACTAGCCTAGCACCAGTGACCTTTGCAAATTCAAGGACTGGATGGACTATTTTAAAAAGTGTTTCCACACGTCTCCAACACTCTGGCTCACTAGGAAATGAGGTCCTATGTCCAAAAATCACAGACTGTCCCTTTAATGTCATACTGTGGAACATTCCAGGCAAAGCAATGACATATCCAATATCCATAGGAACAAGCAGGTGATGGACCCTCCACCAGAAAAGTTACACAAGAGCATTTTATTTTAAGCGTTTTATTTCATGATATCTGTATGATGCTGAAGTGATGCAGGTCATTTTCATTTCAAACTGCTTCACTCTTTTGACATTCAGAAAGTGAAAGTCTAATTACTGCACTGGGATTGTGGGTGGTTCACAAAATCAGTCTCTCAATATTTCTGAGGTCAGGTTAACCTTCTCCTGATCACATTTTTGCACTCCATCAAAATACGCTCAAATATGCCTGTGGTTTTAGAATGATTACACTTACCCTGACTTGTTTTCATGCATTATAGACAGTTTACTCAATACATGCATCACGAATTTCGGACTTCCGGTCATTGCGCAATGCATACTGGGAAGGATTTTCCGAAAAAGTGAGCATCAAACCGCCATGTTTGTTTTCCCAGTGGGATGCGTCTATTGACAAAGCCGATCTTTTCTAGTCTTTTGAACCATATCAGTTTTGTTTCTGGTTCTGATATTGTCATATTTTAGTTTTGGGATTCGGACATCGTAATTGTGTGGTTGTAGGATCCTAACAGCGGAAAATGACTCGAGAAATGGGCTTTGAAAGTTTGCGAACCCCATAAATGCAAAAGGGAATCAGATGTGTGTGACTGTAAACCTCCGTTCCAACTGTTTCCCTTCCCAACAGAATTGAAAAATAGTGAAAGGTGAAGGCAATGGGCAGGACTGATAATCAGAAAGGACCAAAAAGGAAACCTTTGACTGCCCAAATCATCCTGAGTTTGCAGCGAACATTTTGTATGTGGAGCGCCATCAAAGCAAAATCCCGTTTGTTCAGCGAGAGGTACAGAAAACAAACAGGCTCAGCTGCACTTTCTTGTTCTTGTGACATTATAACAACATCACGTCTTGGTCGCGTTGCAGTGGAAGGTGTTTCTTGGCGAACAGCTGGTGCCTTTTACTTTAACGCTGACTTATTAAATTCGTAACCAAGGTGGAGCGAGGGATTTGGACTTTGCTTTGATGGCGCTCCACATACAAAATGTTCGCTGCAAACTCAGGATGATTTCTTAGGCAGCTAAAGGTTTCTTTTATTCTGTGTATCAGTACTACCCACCGCCTTCACCTTTCACTATTTTTCAATTCCGTTGGGAAGGGAAACAGTTTGAACAGAGGTTTGCAGTCACACACATCTGATTCCCTTTTGCATTTATGGAGTTCGCAAACAAATTTCTCGAGCTGTTTTCTGCTGTTAGGATCCAACAACCACACAGTTACAATGTTTGAATCCCAAAACTAAAATATGACAATATCAGAACCAGAAACAAAAGCGATATGGTTCAAAAGACTAGAAAAGTTCCGCTTTGTCAATAGACGCATCCCACTGGGAAAACAAACATGGCGGTTTGATGCTCACTTTTTCGGAAAATCCTTCCCAGTATGCATTGCGCAATGACCAGAAGTCCGAAATTCATGATGCATCTATGTACCAGTCCTAAATCCGCAGGGTTTGTGTGCTAAACATGCATGAAACAACACACAACTCAAGGTATGTTTGTGAGGAAACTACATTATAACATAGATCAGAAAATAGTGTAATATGGGCTCTTTAAGTCTCAGAAGTGGAATAACCCTAAAACCAGACCTTGGGATCCTTGTGTTTTTCCTTGCTCCTTTTTGTGGAGGGGCCTAGTGTGGGGTGGGGGTGTTATTTATGACACACACACACACACACACACACACACACTCTCTGACAGGATGAAAGGGCATTCGCACAGCCTCCAAACCTGATTTTACTGCCCTGGCTGGAATGAGACAGAGGAGAGCACAAAAGAGAAAAAAGGCCCAGAGATTTACAGCTCCCTGCAGCCCCACAGCATTAAAGCCAAACCGGGGAGCGCTTACGGTTTTCTGCAACAAAGAACACAACTCTTCTTCACAAATGAGACATGTGCTCATTGGGCTAAACGCGAAGAGGCCGGAGCGTCACTAAAGCGCAGAAATTGATACTCTGAGTCTGCATGCATGGCTGTGGCGGAGTATTCAGCGGTCACCATGGTGAAAAAGGATGTCAACAATACATTTTTGAGCGTTCGTGGCCCTGTTAAGGTGATTTTCAGCAAAAAAAACTGTAACTGTATGTGAGAGGGACTTGTTTAACAGCACAAATCGGCTCACCTGTTGTAGTTCAGATCTTTATGGTCAGATTATCTTAAATAAAGCTCTAATTTGATTTAATTTGAGTAACAGAGCTTCAGACATAGCAGTGCCTACAGTTAGATTCACCCCTCAGGGAATGTTAAAGACATGAACTGCAAAGTATTTCATGATAATGTTTGATAATCATTCAATTGTGGATGTGTCATTGTATTTTAATCCATGTTTGAATCAAATTAATTGAATCCAAGTGTATAAATGTAATTTTTTTGGAGTCCTTTTGGGTTTTTTGCCTCTTCCGGCACCTTCTTTTTTATCTATTGTGTTTTTTTAGTTGTTATGTTGTATACATGCTAAATAATAAAAAAAAAAGTATCCAGGGGTTTATTCACACTTACGTCAAAAAACTGAAAGACGTTTGGAAACATACAGATGATGACTTCTTTTGGCTCTGTTGGCGAAAGTAAATCTGGGAAAACTGAGAAAAAGACCTGGTTTTCTTCATCTGGATGTCATAGTATTCTTTCTTTTTTCTTTTTTAAATTGCCTATGCATTTGTGTATTATAATATGACTAACAAAAAAAAAAAAAAAAAGATGTCGTCGTAGTTTTCCATTATGTTCGGCACAAGAGGACGCGATTAAAGTTCCTTCCCCATGGAAAACTTTGTCAGGTTGTGAAGACGCTGCTGCTGATTCCACGCTTTTATCACATGCCCAGTGTCGGGAAATACACCGGAAATCATCATCCGCATGTTTCCAAAGTCTTCCGGTCAGCGTGAATACAGCCTATACTCTCCCCTTCATGACAGGTCACTAACACAAAGCACACACATAAAACATGACCACTGACAACTCTGCATTGTGATTACATCGCACTCAAAAACCCAACTCGGAGATTTGAGAAAAACTGACACTGAAAACTGATCAAATGAAATATCAACAATGATTACTGAAGACAAATGCACAAATATATCAGCATAGAAGAATCCTGTAAAAACTATTATCACTTTGCAGGTTTGTCTGAATGAAAATACAATTTAAAAATCATTAAATACAAATCATACTTTCTTCTGACTAATCCTTAGCTCAGAGCACTGTGGAGGCTTTCTGAGTAAATGCTGCCCCTAAAGGTGGATTTAACCATCACTCCAAAAAAAAAAGTAAGCAGACACTGACCTCTGCTGGCTAAAGCAGAGATTACAAGTAGTCTCTAATAAAAACTGCTCACTGTTTACTTTTACTGTTTAAGATTTAAAAAAAAATAATGTTCCTTTTTGTTTTCTTAATAGTGCACAGTATGAAAAACCCAAAATAGCATGTTTAAGGATGTAAAAATATACAGATCTCACGGTACAATATTTAGGAGTGGCTGATATAATTGTAGATGGGACACTTTTTTGCTTTTAATATATCTTGATTTTGGTGTGAATTATTTCTGTCATAATCCCCAAAATTCAAGTAAAAAACATCTCTCTTCATGTTGTCCGCACTGAAATGAATCATGGGATATGTAGTTTCCGATGTTTATAAGCTGTTTCTATTATAAAACCACGCATTTAAGCAACAATTTTAAGGAACTTGTAATCTGATATATTGTGACAGCCCACGATATTATTGAGAGACTTTTGATGATACAATACCACTCTATTTTGGTTATTGTTACATCCCTAAGCATGTTAAGTGTGCTTAGTGGAGGTAATTACTGCATATGTCACTGACCTGTTCTCTAAACTGCTCCTGGGACAGACAGTCAGTCACGTTCACGCAGCCCAACAAGCAGCCAGTGGGGTAGTCTTTAGGAAAGGCAGGCTCTGCACAGAAAATAAGACACTTCTGCTCATATACTCACCAAAGACATTATTTACCGTATTTTCCGCACTATTAGGCGCTCTGGATTATAAAGCGCACTGTCATTAAATGGTCTATTTTCAAACTTTTTTCACAAATAAACAGCACCGGACTTTAAAAGGAAACCCAACAGTGTGATGGGTGAGTGGTTTTGTTTGTTTGGCGCGTTCACGGTGACTCTGGGCTTTGTTCAGTTGTGGCGTGTAGGGAGGGTGCTGTCTGGAACCAACGGATTGTCGGCGTGTTCGCAGTGACTCAGTTGTTCAGTTTTGTCTAGAAGTGGCACATTGCACTCGCTTTTTTGGTTCGTTCCTCTGTTCCGTTCCTCGTCGGCGTGGAGTGATGAGTGTGTCTGCGGATGTTTGTCGCTGCGCAGTCACTGTCTGCTCCGTGTGTGTTTGCGTGCGCTGCGGGCGGGTAGTGCGGCTTTGTAGTTTACTTAAGTCGTGCTGGGACACCCAAGTAGATTTGTGTATAGGGCGCTCTGAATTGTGGGGCGCAGCTGTTTTTTGATGGGGTTGGAGGCTTAAGAGCGCGTCTAATAGCCCTGGAAAATACGGTAGTCTAAAATGAAATCAAAGTAAATGTGCTTGTGTACCTTTTCTGTAGATGTGGCGGTACATGTTCTCCACCTCGCTGATCTCCTGGGGGGTGGGCTTCTTGGCTGCAGCAGCGATCCACAGACGGCCGCGGTGAGATGTGTACCAAGTCCGGCCCTCCACTCTGTAAACAAATATTGTATGTTACTACGAAGTCCAAATGAAATGACACTGAATGGAAATATAATGTATTATATTATCTATGTTCAGAAATGTAATATATTTGAAGTATGACCGGTTTGAATGTTGAAATAACTGTGTTTCATAAAGATACAATGCAGGCAGTTTATGTACTGGTACTTAGAGTACTTTATTCCACTGAGAAACCACTAAGCTTGGATAATATATGAATGAAATATTATAGTACAGTTGTGCAGTTAATGAAATTTTAATTGAATTGAGATCCATGGTCGATGATCAGCTGTGTCTTTTTAATGAAGAAGTCTACAGCCAACCCTCTGTCAGTAACAGCATGTGGTCTGGAGCTCACAAATATTTTGTGATATAAACAGGACTGATTAAAAGTCTGCATTGTTTATATTTAGGACATTATGATAGAAAACTAAATTCAATTAATTAAGAAATCAAATCAAAAATTGTGTTTTGATGACGAAAAACAATAAAATGGGAAAACAGTTTCTTATTTCATTATTCCACTTTAGTGTCAAAACAACAACAACAACAAAAAAGATTTTGACCTCTATTTCCAATATTTAATTTAAAGTTTATTTAAACACCAATCAAAAAAACTGTCATCATGCCTATTTACAATTTTGACATTTTATTCTCTGGTTTATTTGCCCCGGAAGTTCTGCTGCTAGAAGGACTTACCTAAAAAATCGTTGCAATTTTGTGGACAAACATGTCGTCTTCTTTTATAGCAATGCATTTACTTTCACGACCAAGAAAGTCATTGTTTGAACTCCATGATGAGAAACAAGAAGCAGCGAGGCAATAAACTTCAACTTGTTCAGTTGACACCACATAACTATAATAAAAATAGTTCTTATTATAGATCCATGGTTGACACTGCAGCAGAACTTCCAGGGCAAATAAACCAGAGAGAATAAAATATCAACATTGAAACTGGCACTGAGACTGTTTTTTGATTGGTGCTATTTGAAATAAACTTTAAATTAAATAATGGAAATAGAGGTTGAAATCTGTTTTTTTGTTTGACACTAAAACAGAATAATGAAATAAACTGTTTTCTCATTTTATTGTTTTTTGTTCTTAATTAAAATTCAAAAGAATGAATGGTACACAGACTGTGATTAAGGAACTGATACTGTTTACAAAATAGATTCAATTATGTTATTCATCTTGTAACTACAGATCAGCTTTATATGAATTAAAGTTCAAATATTAAAAGATCTGTCAAATTTTCCTGGATCTGCGCCAGTATCAGAAAGCAGAAATATGGTGCATCCCTATTTAATGTTTTTCTGTTCCAATTATATAAAATTTCAAATAAAAATCAGATGGTTATGCCAAGACAGTTAGATTTACTTGAGAAGTATTTCAAAATACCACAACTGTTTTGCTTCTACTTTTGTGAAATTTGTGCATAGCAATGGTATTCTTACTTGAGTACATTATTTTCCCACCTCTGTCCCTCACAGAGACATGCCCCGCCTCTCCACAGTAAACACTGTACCTCTTGATGCCCCTGACGAGCAGAGAGGCCCAGGGCTGGTGCATGCTCAAACACCAGCCTCCATCAGACATCTCCTGCAGCTCTTTGTCCTGGAGCCGGAGTCTAGAGCGCTCCTCACCTCCTGCCCCAGCTCCATCTCCTGCCCCAGGCCTGCTCCCCGCCTCCAGGCTGCGCTTGGGCCCCTCCGAGACCCCCACATCCACCCACTGGAGACACACAGCATATTGGGTAAAGAATGGACTCAACTGGTGATGCAACATTCAAAGAGCCTTCAGCATATACGAAGAAAAATATACAGTAGCTGCAGTAACTGTCACAGTGCAAATGCCCTGATGTCCTGGCCTGGTTTATGAATAACTGCAAAATAAAGTCAGTCAACAAGTCCAAGAGTAGTTCATTTGACAGAATATCTGTCTAAAATAGTGCCTCATTAACACATTTAACACAACATTCTTAAATTAACATTGCCCCATGCTCTAAATCTTACATTTTGACATAATGAAATTCAACATATTTTTATAAACAAACAATAATCACATTTGGCATTTTGCATAATGTGATTTGTAGACTCATTGCAGTGTGTGTTTTAACTAATTTATTTAAATCCGGTGCATTATCTGAAGTAAAAAGTGCCATACCTCAGGTGCACTCTGCATGATGTTGGGGTTGACCAGATCTCTCAGAGGGGGGCGCTGTCCCTGGACTCTGGGGTACATGGGGGAGGAAGGGTCACTGTGCATGGCCTTCAGGGTTTCGTCCAACCTGCACAAACATGAACACATTTAGTTTATAATACAACCAGCATCCAATCAGAACCCTGTAGATCTGGCTTGTGTGAGAGCTCTCTTTTTTTGAATATGTTGGCCTAAATGGTATGATTTCATATTCAGTCTGTTGGTGGTGTTGTGGCACTCACAGGCATGTCATGTCACAGGAGTAAAATGACTGAAATTGTTTGGGGTTTTTTTGCTTAAAAGGTCCTATATTATCCAAAATGTATTCTTGTGAGTTAAGCCATGTTATAATGCTGCTACCACCTCAGAAACATGCCTGGAGTTGTGTTTTGTTTCATTTACATACATTTGAATAACCCTTTATTATTAGTCTGTTTACATCTCCAAACCTCACAATGTTCTGTTCTACCTTGTGATGTCATGAAGGGGTAGTTTTCAAGTTAACATCTACCGTTGACCTTTTGTTCTGTAGAAATAGGCATTTCCAGACCTGAATCCAAATGATTCTTGTGAAGGTGTATGGCCGTTTAAAGTTATTTGGGGCATGTGCAGAGCTAAAAATGTGTCATTCCTCAGAAATATTGTCATGTTCTTGTTACTATATTATAGACTCTGGCCATTACATTGTCCCAAAGGATTATTCCCTCAGGCCATTAATATAATAACCAGGGCATGATATAATAATGTATGGAAAATGTTTCATTAAGGATTTAATAACATGATTGGTTGTCGGGCTGTATTTAGTTTTAGTTGGTTAATCGGCCGATGGCGCCTTAGTAAAAAAACAATGTCTTTTGTCTCATTTGCTCCTGTAATCCCTCAACACACTTTATATGAACGTAAAGGTGGCAAACATGTATTGAAGAGAAATTAGTAAACTTAATCACAGTTTTAGGTGGGAATTTTATAGCCTGATTCATCAGCCGGTTTTATTTCGTTTCACTTCGTACAAACCGTCTGACCTCGATGTATTAGAATTTGTTCGCTCAATGGTAGGCGGGTACTTTTTAGCATTTAACCAATCGCTGCTATTTGGTCGTGACGTATGTAATGTGCCGCTAACGTGGCTAACTGGTATATTAAGCTTTTCCCAAATTCTGTAGGAAGAAGGACAATAACGTTTTTCCCCCTGATAAAATTCAGCAAACATTCTCTTTGTTCCGGTGTGAGATAGTATTTTGACCTCGGGGTGAACATAGCGCTATAGTAAAGTGACCCTCCATAGGATTTGGACTCCCCTTACTTTTTTCTTTAGTAGTTTCTTATCTGATCATTATTTCTCATGTCATTTACTTTTATTATATACTGCTACATATTCACTTTCTTTTAAGGTATTTTAAGGAATGTTTTGATGGACAATGACTTGGTATTTTGTGTTAATGTAACGTATTGTTCAAATTACATACAATTGCATAGTAATCTTGTCACTTTTTATATTGTATTTACATTGTTATGTTTTTTAGTTTGCCATGTTCAGATAATCCTTACTCATAAATCAATTTAGGCAATGGTTTGTAAGAACAATAACCTTGAATTTAGTCATGTTGTGTTATAATAAACATATTGGGGCGTCAGATTACTATAGTCATATGTTTCCCCTATTTAACTACTCAACTGATCAGCTCTGTCTGTTTTAACAAGATTCCAAATCATTAGACATCACTTTGATTATCTAACTTATTAATAACGACTTATCTCATTTTCAGTAAAATATGTGTTGAAACAACCAAGTCATTTTTAACATTCAAAAGTTATAATCGATATAAAAATGCATCAGAGTTCTTCAAAAAACACTTTTAAACATGTCAATATGTTTTAATTTGCAGATATAGTGTTAATATTCAAAGTTTTTCTATAGAATTCAAGGTCTTTATTAATAAAATATAGATTTTCATAGGGGGGTCAATATACCATAATAGGATTCTGACCCCAGAGTCAAAATACTATATGGTATGTTGACCCTGGGGTCACCTCACCGCGGGGTCAAAATCCTATACCACACCGGCTTTAAATCCTTGATCTCGGGAATCTTTGACAACATTGAATATCTGTCTGTTCGCTAATTGGCTGGTGCCCGAACTTGCACTTCCGGGGTTTTTGCAAACTGTCTAGTGTTTCCTGATTCCTGATCTAGTCGCTGGAGAGAAATGAAAATGAGTGGAGGCAATAGGTGGCGCCAGCCTGGCTAGGAGTTTGATCTGTGGTCTCATACAAATACTGTATGTAATTGTAAAAGTCAGTGTGGTCTGACTTAGTTAACCAAAATTTGAATGATTTTATTTTGATTTTAAGAATTTTTTATGAGACAACAGCAGAGAGCGAGTTAGCTGAAGATTTTTTCTTATCTTAAACTTATGATTCATAATGTTTATATAAATACATTGTTTCCTAGTGCTTTTTCTATATAAATAATAGTTTCTGCATGAACTCCCTCTGCCATAGTTGTCTTGTGAGTGCATTTTGGGTCAGATACACAAAGAAACGCAATAGTTGTTTGCGTTGTGATTTTTAATGTCTTTCTTATTCTGTAAAGCACTTTGAATTACTCTGTGTGCAAACTGTTCTATACACATAAACTTGCCTTGTTTAGTTTTGAGCGATTTTGCCACATCCCCTTATTTGTCGACTAATCAATCTGCAGGACATGTCTTAAAACAACCAACAGTTTCTTTAGTTGCCTAACTGATTGTTACTACATAACTGGATTTTCTTACATAACTGACTGCTCCACACTCTTAAGAAAAGCCCCATACTCACTTGGTGTAGTACTCCTTGAGGCCGTCTCCCTCTTCGATGACCTGTCTCCCGGCGAAGTCCAAAGTGATTTTGCGGTCTTTTCGAGAAGCGTGGCGGATTTCTCGGAGCTCTTCCTCTTTCCTCCTCAGCTTCTCTCGCTCGCCCGGAGACAGCCACTGATTGGAGTCAGCGGCAAAGTAATCTGACTCGTCATCCAAAACCTGGGTTCTCCTCACACTGCAAACAAATAGACTTGGACTTAGACAAACTTTATTGATCCACAAGCATAGAGTGTATAAAGAAGTGGACTAAGTGAGTGTGGCTAGGGCTGGGTATCGTTAAGAAGCCGATATGATACAAACCTCGATACACAGACCACGATATGATACACCTCGATACAGCGCACCTTCAATTCAAATCGATTCGATGCAATATATTTGAAATTCATTCGATATGGTTCAGTATAAAATACAAGTGGGACGAGATACAATTTCTACAATACGAGATGAGACATGATACTGGATCTACGCGAACGAGACAAGAGATTTTGACATTCTTCATAATAAATACATTTTGCAATCCAGTTCCCAATTTTGTCCTCACTTTGTTGAATATTTTTGCTGTCATTGTAGCAGTGCTTTTTGGGACTACAGCTTCAGTGTGAAATCCCTCAGTCGTCCAGGTAGAATGGCAAAAGGAGAAATTCAGTTTGTCAACTGGACAAAAATGTATTTGGTGGAATATGCTTCACAGCTCATGTGGGGAAGCTGGCCAAAGTTGACAAAGTAGGAGGCAGATGACACAAAAAAGGTGTCTTTACACAGACAAAATTTATTTTAAAAACAGACTTCTGAGGTTCACCAACAAAAGAACAAATAGACAAAAAATAAGTAACTCAAAGCAAAACACCAAAGACCTGCACAGAACTCTCCCTAATTGGTGACACCTGCTTTGCTTTATACTCCGCCCACAGGAAGTACCTCCCCCCAGGTGAGTATCCAGGTAACTCCCCAAAGCAAGTCCCCTTTCAAAATAAATAATATTAAACATAAACTAACGTGAATTTAAAATGAGACAAAGGTCCCACTTTGTCACAGCTCATCCAAGCTGCTTCTTCAGTTCTGGTCAAAATGCCGGCAGACACTTGCTTATATCTGCCTGAAGGGAGGAGCCAAATACATGGCTGGTGTTTCTGAAAAACTAGAGGATTTTCAAACCTACAAGCACTTTAAGACAAAAAACTAGTCTACCCAAAGGACAAAACACAGAGCCACAAACAAAGCAACGTGGTCTACTGCATTCAGTGTAGTGAAGACTGCAGAAAGTGCTACATTGGAGAAACAGAACAGCCACTTCACAAGAGGATGAACCAACACAGACGAGAGAGCAACACAGGACCTCAGTCTGCTGTACATCTCCACCTAAAAGGAGCTCAGTCTGCTGTACATCTCCACCTAAAAGGACCTCAGTCTGCTGTACATCTCCACCTAAAAGGACCTCAGTCTGCTGTACATCTCCATTTTAAAAGGAGCTCAGTCTGCTGTACATCTCCACCTAAAAAGGAGCTCAGTCTGCTGTACATCTCCATCTAAAAGGAGCTCAGTCTGCTGTACATCTCCACCTAAAAGGACCTCAGTCTGCTGTACATCTCCATTTTAAAAGGACCTCAGTCTGCTGTACATCTCCACCTAAAAGGATCTCAGTCTGCTGTACATCTCCACCTAAAAGGACCTCAGTCTGCTGTACATCTCCATCTAAAAGGAGCTCAGTCTGCTGTACATCTCCACCTAAAAGGACCTCAGTCTGCTGTACATCTCCACCTAAAAGGACCTCAGTCTGCTGTACATCTCCATTTCTAAAAGGACCTCAGTCTGCTGTACATCTCCATCTTAAAAGGACCTCAGTCTGCTGTACATCTCCATCTAAAAGGACCTCAGTCTGCTGTACATCTCCATCTTAAAAGGAGCTCAGTCTGCTGTACATCTCCACCTAAAAGGACCTCAGTCTGCTGTACATCTCCATCTTAAAAGGACCTCAGTCTGCTGTACATCTCCATCTTAAAAGGACCTCAGTCTGCTGTACATCTCCATCTAAAAGGACCTCAGGCCACTCCTTTGGGGACAGTGAGATACAGATCTGAGCCAGAGAAAATAGTTGGTTTGAGAGGAGAGATAAAGAAGCTATTTTTGTTAGGAAAGACAATTTATCTTTGGATAGAAATGGAGGCCTCAGACAAAGAAAACAATAGGGATAGCCAGGTCAGGCCCAGAGGTGTTAAAAGTTCCCATTATGTCCCTGAATGATTCTGCTAACATGACCCACAGTCAGTGCAAGTTCAATAGGCCTAGCTTACTAATAGAAACTGTAAACAAGTAGGTGTGTTACTTTCGGAGTAGTTTCATTGTAGTTAGCTCCTCCCTTCAGGCAGATATAAGGAAGTGTCTACCAGCATTTTGACCAGAAATGAAGAAGCAGCTTGGATGAGCTGCGAAACGTATTCAACCAAATACATTTAACATTCTTGTGCCATTAACTCCATTTTTGTATCCAATCTAAACGTAAAAACATGGGGGGAAAATCTCACAAGATAATTTGCAGCATGTGTGCACATTTTCGTGGCAATTTTGTCCTATCCCTGGTATAAAATACTATAAATACTATAAAATACTAAAAGTCTTTGTTAAACCACTACTTGCTCAAAGTTAATATGAAGTACATCCATTTTAATCATCAAAACAGTGAATATGTCAAATGTATTGCAATAAGTTTCCTTCCTTGAAACAACAAAGAACATTGTAGCGATGTCACAAAATAATGTTGTAAAATATATCAAAAAATACTCCTGCCGATATATAACGATCCAGTAGCCCACAAAATAGTCGATAGGGTATCATCAAATTGAACTATACGATATTTCACCCATCGTGTAGGGCTCCAGTTAAATGAAGATCACGAGGCGAGTGGTTAAAGGAGTGAATTTGGAGCAGAAAAACAATATAAACAATAAATTCCAAATAAGTAGCAAAAGGTAAGTGTCAAGTATGGCATAATTATTTAAACGTATAAGCACAAGTAAAAAGAAAAAAGAAATATATTAATAGAAAATATATCTGAACTATATACAAGAGGTCGTAAGGAGAAACGGTTCAAATATGAAATAGTGCTTGATCTGACAGAAGGTTATCTACTACATAAGGGTGAGTTGTTGTGTGTAGTATTGTATTTTTATTACCTATTCCTGTCATACTCCAGTAGTTTGTCCTTGTGCTGCACGGCCTTCTCCAGCCCAGCCTTCATCTTGGCCTCCTGATGCGGAAGATAATCTCTGTCTCCTCCGTCTGACAACACATTTTTAACACAGTGCCTCAGAATGAAACTTCTCTTAAAGTCACTGGAGTAAAATGATTAGACTTGTGTTTTGCTTAAAGGTCCTATATTACACAAAATGGACTCTCGTGTGCTTTAAAACATGACAGAATGTTCTTAACCCAACAAAAATATACAGTACATGCATATATTCTTTGTGATTCAGCATGGATGCAATAATTACTGTAATTACTGTATTATTTAATGTGTTGCACTAATCGGTTTTATATGTCTATCATTTTTTGGAATAAAGTAAACAAAAAAAGCCGAGCATCAAAAGCTGGAATGGGGTTATGGATGTGTAAAAAGAAAGTTTGCATATTTGTTGAAATATCATAATTACTTTAGTTTGAAAAAAGAAAAAAAAACGCAGGTGACATATAATATCTAGATACGTTACAGTAGTGAAATTTTAAGGTGAAAAAAAAAAAATCTAAATAATTTCTGACCAAAAGATTTACTGGACCATATACATGTTGTAAAGCATAATTACACAGTCATACGTGTTGTGTATAATGTGGAGTATTTCCAATATATTCAATTACATCAGGGGTCTCCAACCTTTTTTTTTCTGGTGAGCTACCTTTACAAAAAGAGCTACTAATTTTAGCAGTCACAAAGAAATTTAGAATAGGAAAGCGTTAGATACCTATAAAACATAAACCTTTATCTATTTATTAGTGCACAGTCAGGCATCAAAATGATATATTTAGAATGGTAGTTCATCAAATTTGAGTCATTCAGCACAATATGTATACTATATTTTTCAGACTATAAATTGCTTCGGAGTATAAGTCGCACCACACTATAGATCGCACTTTTTGAGGGAAATTTATTTTATAAAATCAGAAACCAGGGACCGACATTTCATCCTGAAAGTCTAGTTCTAGTAATAACAATAGAAGAGCAGAACAACAGGCTGTTAACGTCACATATGAACAGTGCTGGGGAATAACGGATTACATGTACCGGGATTATGTAATCAGAGTACAAATTATGAGTAACTGTATTCAGTTACAGTTGCTGTTTCAGTGAGTGGTAATTGGATTACAGTTACTTTGTTGAAAAGATTAAATGGATTACAGCGGCGGTATTTTCCTGTTTTCACATTTTGGGCTAAACCGGGACTAAAACCAGGACTAAAACCAGGTCTAAAAGCAGGAATAAAGCAGGACTAAACTAAGACTAAACTAGGACTAAAACTAAGACTAAAACCAGGTCTAAAACCAGGATTAAATTAGGACTAAACCAGGACTAAACAATATGACACTAACAGTAGGTGGACATAATTTAAAGCAGCAGTGATCTCGTATAAAAATCATTTCTCTATCAATAATATTTTTTATTTGCTTAAGTAAAGCAAACAAAACAAAACATCTTATGTTAAAATTTCCTAGTCTTTGCTTCTCTGCAGCAAACAGTTGCTTATTCATGGAGATTTGGGCTCAACAGACAATTTGAAGAGAACAAACATGAATTTTCAGGATGTGGTTGCTTCAATCATGTAGTTTTAAAAAACATGACAATATCAAGTAATCCAAAGTATTCAGATTACATTACTCACTTTAAGTAATTTAATGGATTCTGTTACAAACTACATTTTGGGATATGTAATCTGTAATCTGTAATCTGTAGGGGAATACATTTTAAAAGTAATCTTCCCCACACTGCATATGAACAGTTCTTCAGATAATTATAACATAAACAACAGAACAGAACAAGTTTACCAAACTCTCCATCTCACTCCAAATCACTAAATCCATTCAATTCTTCATCCTCAGTGTCACATCTAAGCAACTCCACGTCCTCTGGAGGTAAACAGAGCGCCGCTTCCTCTTCTGTGTAGCTGTCGTCAGACTCAGCATCAGTTCCAGTTAGAATTATTCTGACGTTTTTGAATCTGACAAGATGGTTACAGTTTACGTTTGTTTAAATTTTAAATTGTCAGTGATACAGAAGTAATGGTGTGATCGACTGACATGATCCCAGACTAGGGATGGGCATTCGATGAAATTTTCTTAAATCGATCGTCGGAAGAATTAACGATCGATTATCGATTAATCATTAACGTTTTTATATTAAAATGATCATCATTATTATTACTACCTGCACTACTAATCTGCATAAATAAATTCAACTTTATGATAAAATAAACCGTAACCACTCTAGAGCCACATCAATCCGTCTGACATTATAATGTGTTTAATGCAGTTTTGTGCAACTCTCACAGAAACAAAACTTAAAATCACATCACTAATTTGCATAAACTAAGCAAAGATAAAACTACAGCTCTTGTGTCGCTGATGTGGTTCAGTTTCTGTCAGATTAAAAGACACGACTCAGTGGAATACAGGTTAGTGTGACCAGATTTGCGTTTGTCAAAACCAGGACACCGTACGGGGGGAGGGAGATGGGGCCTCGTCATCGACATTGAGCGACTCTCACCTGGCAAAACTTTTTCCCACTGGACACAGAAACATATGTGCTGCTTTATACACTGTGCACATGGACTCACACTTGTCCCGAACGCAACGGAAAGTGTGGAATTTCTTGTACAAGTCATCGTTAAATACACATATGCACTTCGGTACGTTGCAGACTGACTGACTGTTTGTGTCTCGCTCCTTCTGATGCAGAGAGACACATGTACAGACCTGTTTGGTCACACTACACACAGCAACCTACATTCGGTTTGTCGATTAAAATTTACATAATCGATGAAATTCTTAATGATCAATTATCTATTATTTGAACCCTAACCCTGAATTACATGGACTAGATAGTGAGAATGAAAACAACCAAACCTGGAGTTGTTTTATTTCATTCACACATGTTTGAGTAACCTTTTATTATTAGTCTATATACATCTACAAAGCTCAAAATGCTCCATTCCATCTGTTTTTTTACCATTAGTTCATTAAAGATGTAATGATGCTTGTGTATGTGTACGGAGTTTAAAAACACAGTGGAGGACTTGCTACAATACCACATGATATCACAACGTGGTGTTAAATGTGCGAATGAAACAAGACATGTCAAAAAAGAAGGTCCACTCAAGGGATACATAATGACAGATCCTGAGACACAGATTTGTTTTTACCTCCCATGAGCTTCTTTCTAAGTTTCTGGCTTTTGTTGGAGTCTCTTTGCAGGATCTCTTGTTCCTCTTTGGTACACACCTGTCAAAAAAGAAAACAGACTGGATTCAAACTACAGATCTACAGGTATTGGTTTTTTCATGACCGATGGTGATGCCCGATAAGCTCTGCCCATATCTTTAGGCTGATATTTTTGGTCCGATTTTGATAATTTTCCTCAAATTATTTATTTAAATTTACTACGAACTCCCCCGCAGCCAGGTTTTACCACAAACAACAAACAGGGATTGATTGCTTAGGCCTTGGCATCTTGGATCATTCCTGCAAATTTTTTTCACACACTGTTGAATTTGAGGAATTTTTAATACTGAATTTTAAACACTTTGAAAATGTACACATATCATTTCATAAATTGACATTCTGAATAAAAATAATTCAAACATGCTTTTTCCAGAGTAAAAAAATTCAAAGTGACAAAATCATTGGCATTTGAACTTCAAAATCTGATGAAACAAATTACTTTCCACAATTACTCTACATCTTATTTAGTTTTTTTAGTTACTTTTGTGCAATAAAACCTTGAAATCACCTGAATATGAGCAGAATCAGTGAAAATAACTCTTTAGACTTTACCAAGCTCCCGCAGAACAGGCACGGTCCAGAGCCCTCCTGTTCGCACACGATGCGGCCGCAGCTGATACAGTTGTTGATGAGCTTGTGCTTTTGAGCAAGGCACTCGCACGCATGTCGTCCAGGGAGCAGCACCGCCAGTTTGTCCTGACCTTCTTTAGCGTACAGGTTCACAAACTTATTTTTCTTTTTGGTAGAAGATGAGCTGCCCATGTCTTGGCTCTGTAAATATAAAAAAGAATAAAGAATATTTATCATGTATTTATACCACGAAGTCCCATTGAAATTCAGAATCTCAAGTTAATGCAGTACAGAGAAGTAACCATTAAAGGTGGCAAGATACATGAGATTGGATCAACAAGAATGCGACAAGACAAGATTTTGATGTTATTTAGGCTATTATAGATACTTTGTGCAATTCAGTTCCCAATTTTAGCCTCGCCACTTTTGATTTACTTGATTTAATGTTTCTGCTGTCGCTGTAAGACTGCTTTTTGGGACCAAGGGTGTAGTGGGCGTGGTATGCCGGAGTACACCGTCCACCCACTTCTCCAGACGTGAGATATATAGATAGATAAGATATGTGAGCATAAATACAAAATAGAATCTTCTCTTTAGACAAAATATATAGTTGTGGAATTACTAAGACAGCTTTCATTTGACAAGTGAAACTCCATTATGGCCAAAATGTCTTCAACTTCCTCTAAATTCTCAGGCCTGTGTAAAGCAGAGATATAAGAGGCTGTCTTGTACTTACTCTGGCCTGATCGATGGGGGTTTTGACTGCCTCTGGCTCAGGCTCCGCTTGGCTGACAGGCAGGACCTCTTTGTTCCGACCCTTTCGCTTGGATTTTTTCTGAGATGTTGTGTCTGGAGGTGAATCTAAAAAATATAGAGGTAGATATAGATTCACTGTACAACAGTAAGATAAGAGAAGATCACCTTTATTTGTCCCACAGTGGGGAAATGTCAGTGTTGCAGCAAAAAAATAAAATATGCAATCAAAATTTAAGATAAATTATTAGACTATAAGACTGCACTTTTTGAGGGAAATTTATTTTATGAAATCAGAGACCACAAACCGACATTTCCTGTGTAAAGTCAAGTTCTAGTAATAACAATAGAAGAGCAGAACAACAGACTGTTAACATCACATATGAACAGTTCTTCAGATAAACTCTAACATAAACAACAGAACAGAACAAGTTTACCAAACTCTCCATCTCACTCCAAATCACTAAATCCATTCAATTCTTCATCCTCTGTGTCACTTCTGAGCAACTTCATGACCTCCGGAGGTAAACAGAGCGTCACTTCCTCTTCTGTGTAGCTGTCGTCAGATTCACCATCAGTTCCAGTTAGAATTATTCCGGCCTTTCTGAATCTCGACAGGATGGTTTTGGTGATGGTTTTCACTGAAGTTCAGGCTTTGTCCATCCATCTAGTGACTTCAGGAAAGTTTCATGGTGCATCCTCCCGGTGTCACAAGTTTCTCTCTCACTCCAAACTTTCTTTCTGCTGATCGAATACCGTTTTCGGCTGCAGATTTTGCTACTTGCAGCTAGTAATCTACAAAATATGCTTTAACTTCTTGGGTTCCTTTTAAGAAGATGGCTTGCAGCTAGCAGCCGAAACATGTCAACAAGGTCAACACACTGTACTGCATTGTCTTTAAAAAGAACCCAAGAATTTAAAGCATATAAGAAGACAAAATGAACATCTTTGGCTCTACAAAATATGATTTTCTTTTTTGGGACATTTGTGTACAGTCTTCTCAGCTGACTTTATACATTTTTAATTTTCAGTGGTACAGAAGTAATGGTGCGATTGACTGAAATGATACAGACAGGACAGAGGCTCTTTCTGCAAGAGACATGTGCGGTGGAGCATGCAATGATAGTGGTACAGCAAAAACACAAGTAACAGATACTGGCACGCAAGCACTGGAGTATAAGTTGCAGGAGCACCCAAACTATGAAAAAAAGTGTGACTTATAGTCCAAAAATATGGTACATCATTATGGTATCAGAATCAATTGTGAGTATCGAGTCTATTCATTAGTATCGAAATAAAGTTAAAAGTTTTAGTATCATGAAAAAACTAGTCTTGAACCCTCCATCACAGAGCCAGGGTATATAGTGTAACATAACAGTAACAACAATAGTGTATAAATGTTGGGCTGGTCATTAACAGTACCTGCGGCAAAGGGGACAGACTCTTTGAGGACAATAAGTCCTGCAGTGTCCATGGACGGTCTCTGGCTCCTCTCCCATCGTTTGAGAAGATCGTCAATGAAGTGTCTCTTTCTCCCATCAGTCCCCTGCAGCAGATCTCCCACATACTCCTCCAGCTCCTCCCGGTTTTCAATAGTCAGAATATACCTGGAATAAAAAAAGAAATGCATGGTTAAAAACAATGTTAGTTATTAGCAAATTTTAAGTATTTATGTAACCTTTTATATTTTTGTGTTTTGTTTGTTAAGGGTTTTTTTTTTTGGTCAATTTGGATGCGTTTATTACACTAAAAACATCATGGGTCCTTACTCTGAGCAGGCTTGCCCCTCCACAAACCCCATGCCTAAAGGAGGGCCTGTTTGTTTCCATGGAAATATTGTTCCTTTGGCTATAATATTCCACAGTATAACACAAAACGTATCTATCCCCATGGAGAATATTCCGAGGTATGGTTTTAACTGTCTTTTTCTATTAAATCATGCAAGTCATGAGTCACTATATCGACTTACCGTTCAATATTTGTAAGCTGGAACAATATATTTTGGGGCTCAGTGTTGATCGTGTGTACATTTTCTTTGTAAAAGTGGAGAGACTTGGGGTATTTTTGTTGTAATTGTTATAATACAATAAGATTTGAGCTGCAGAGGATACATTACGTCACTTCTATTCATAATTATTGGTTAATTCCACAATTTATTTGCTGCAGCAGGGGTGTTTCGAATGATACTGTCTATTATCCACTGTCATATAGTAGGGCTGTAACGATATCCAAGTCTCATGATACGATATCGTCACGGTATGATATTTATTCCAATATCGTGGGAAAGCTCATGATATGCTGGGGAGGCTCACGATTAGAGATGTAACAATATCCAAATCTCTCAGTACTTATACGATATTTATTTTGTGGAGGCTAAACAGCTAAAACTGTTAATATGCAACTTTTTCCTCTTAAATGTCTTGAAAAAACTTAACCCAAAGAACTAAGACTTAAAAGTGCTTAGAACTGTTATTTCTTTTTGTAGTCTGCACTGAAATGGAGCAAAGGATCATGGTCTATGTAGTTAACTCTGTTTTTTTTTTAGCTATTGCTGCACCATAACTTTTAATTTAAGCAAAGAGACTTGTGATTTGATATATTGTGACAGTCCATGATATTACTGTGACAAATTTGACGAAACAATATCACCATATTTTGATTACTGTTACATCCCTAGCAGCAGTTTAAATATTATAGTTTATCTCAACATTTCTCTGTACCAATATATCACTCTTCAAAATGTGTTATCTTGACAGGCTGTAACTTTAAGACAAAGGACAATTTCAGCATAGTTACAAACATTTAGAATTTTACTTTATACAATATGCATTTGTATCTTTATAAACTTTATACACTTGGTACAATTTTGGAAAAATGTGGCACTAATTTAACAGATTAACAGTTTTCAGAAACATTTTTAAACATAAGACAAGACATGATAGGAAAGTGATCATAGTGTTCACTATGAAACTTTTCAGTTGGGGGTCCGTCACCTGATTCCACAGTGTTCCACAGTATGACATTAAACAGCTCTACCTTACATTTACTCCCACTACAGGTGGTTTTATTGTTCAAAAATACCTACAAAAGCAACATTCTGACTGTGAGCGGGGTCACCTCTCCACAGATCTGACCTGTAACATGGTTTGGTTTAGTCTCCATAAAGATAGAAAGTTTAATACCATACTGTGAAACATTCCAGACAAAGCAATAACATCTCCAAGTATTTAACCGACAATTCACCAAAAAGTTACACCTATGCTTGTATTATTGACATAAACATCGCTGACCAGATTTTCAAAAATCTAAACTGGGACATACCCAGGCTGGGATGGCTGGTAATTAAAATTGTAAAAAGAGCATGTAACATTTAGGGGTGTGCAAAAATATTGAAATATCGATATATTGTATCGTTTAATGTGATGATACAGTATCAATACCATGGGCTACTGTATCAATATATCGCCAAGAGTATTTTTGGATATATTTAGCAAAATCATTTTGTTACAGTGCTACAGTTTTGTTGTTGGTTTAGCGGAAGGCAACTCATTTATGAGACACATTTGACATTGTCACTGTTCTGAGGATTCAAATGAGCGTGTTTTATATTCACTTTGCAAAAGAAGTGGTTTAACAAAGACTTATACTTACATATCACAGCTGTTATTTAGCCTTTATTTTACACTGAACTGTATCAAATCACTTTGGAATATATAATATTGAAACATATCGAATCCAGATATGCATTGCATCGTGGCCTTTGTATCGAGGTATGATTCGTATCGGCAGCTTCTTAATGATACCCAGCCCTAGTAACATTGATTCTCACATCAATCATAATCTGAGGGACTTTTGATGCTGCTTTTTTTTTTTTTTTTTTGCTTTATTGTCATTTGCAAACACGGTTTTGTGCATTTTGGGTTATCAAATGACTATTTATGCTCCTCTTCACTGTTGGTGAGGATCTGATTAGTGAAAAATTGTGATAGCCCTGTTTTAGTTCTGATTTAGATCTGATGTAGTCCTGGTTTAGTCTTAGTTTAGTCCTGGTTTAGATCAAATTGGTCCAAAATAGGGACACCTCTGACATTTCTTGTATAAAACTGGGACAAATCACTGGTTTTGTATAAATCTGCTGGGACAGGGAACACAGGCTCAAAACTTCGACTGTCCAGGGTAAACAGGAACATCTGGTCATTCTATATAAACATCGAACTGCAAGAACTTTTTCACTAACACAGTCCTTCTATCGTCACTAACTGGGTATCAAAGGAGTGCCAGAAGAATGAGAAAATGCTGTGACTAGCTGTAACGGGATATTTTTTTTCTGAAGCCTGAACATTTTCCTGTAATAAAATCATTGAGGTTGTAGTTGAGGTTAGCTCGTCATAAAGTGTGCTGTTCCATTCGTGCTTTTTCTTACTTGACAATATCCTCACAGGCCTCCAGTCCGAACCTGTGATGGAGCTGGTCCACGCACCACTCGAACAGCGCCTCGGACATTTTAGGATCTTTCTAAATGTTGTAAAAAGCGTGAATCTGGGAGAAATGTACCGGCGTCGTGTCACTTCCACAGTCACGCAGCAGGCATGGGCAGAGGTTTCCAGTCGAGCGCATAACAAAGTAACACATGCGCGCTTCAATATTCCGCGTAGCGAACACTGCGGGCGTGCATGGTTCCGCTTCTGAAATAAATGTTTAAAATAACAATCATAGCTCTATGAAAATATCGGTAATAATCCCTAAACAGTGTTGGGGAGTAACGGATTACATGTACCAGAGTTACGTAATCAGAGTACAAATTATGAGTAACTGTATTCAGTTACAGTTACTGTTTCAATGAGTGGTAATTGGATTACAGTTACTTGGGTGAAATAAATGGATTACACGGCTTTATTTTCCTGTTTTCACATTTTGGGCTATTCCACTTTTTTTTTTTTTTTGTAATTCCGCTCATTGCCGGACACTAAACCAGGTCTAAACGAAGTCTAAAACCAGGTCCAAACCAGGACTAAACCAGGTCTAAAACCAGGTCTAAATCCAGGACTAAACCAGGACTAAAACCAGGTCTAAACTAGGACTAAAACCAGGTCTAAACCAGGCCTAAAGCAGGACTTAATCATGCTGCATGGATCATGTCTCCTTGTCCTCTATCAATAATATTTTTAATACGGTTCAGTAAAGTCTGGGCTTTTTATTTTCTTTCAACAGACAAAACATCTTATGTTACAATTTCCTCGTCTTTGCTTCTCTTCAGCAAACCAAGTAATCCAAAGTATTCAGATTACGTTACTCACTTTAAGTAATTTAAGGGATTACGTTACAAACTACATTTTGGGGTATGTAATCTGTAATCTGTTGGGGAATACATTTTAAAAGTCACCTTCCCAACACTGTCCCTAAATTATATGTACTACTACTACTCCTGCTACTACTACTACTACTACTACTACATACCGCACACTATTCTCCTACACCATTAAACCAAAGCAGTCACATTTCTATATATGTCCAGTAAGTGTCACTCTCGTGCAATCTCCCCCATGATAATACAAAGACAGACACAAGAAGCATTTATAAATATTTTAGAACATTTAAATAATATATTTTTTCTTTACAATGGAATAAATCTTCTATTCTACAGTGTTGAAATCAAGTTTGAAATTTTTGTGTCCTGACAATACTGGTCTATAGTAGTCTAAAAACGACTGAACTAAAACTAATCCAGGACTAAACCAAGACTACACTAGGTCTAAACCAGGACTAAACCAAGACTAAACCAGATGTAAACTGAGACTAAACAAGGTAAAAAACAACAACAACCAACCAACCAACCAACCAAAGAAACAAAAAAACAGGTCTAAGCCGAGACTAAACCGGGACTACATTAGGTCTAAACCAGGAGTGAACCAGGAGAAAAAAAAAAGACTAAACCAAGAATACACTAGGTTTAAACCAGGACTAAGCCAGGATTCAAACAGGGCTAAACCAAGACTAAACCAGGACTACACTAGGTCTAAACCAGGACTGAACCAGGACTAAACCAGGTCTAAATCAGGTTTAAAACAGGTCTAAACCAGGTTTATACCAGATCTAAACTAGGTTTATACCAGGTCTAACCCAGATCTAACCCAGGTCTAACCCAGGTCTAAACCAGGTCTAAACCAGGTCTAAACCAGGTCTAAACCAGGTCTAAACTCGGTCTAGTCCTCAGATAGGCTGCAGTACTCAGAAAGTGGTTTATCATATTGATGATGCTTTTGCTAACAGCTCCATCTAGTGGTGTATGTAGGACACACATTCTTAGTCCACTGGATTTTGACCAGAGACATTTGGAGGATGTTACTTTGTTCAGGGGAGGTATTTTGCTAACCGTGCTGCATAATGCTGTTTAGTCATGTATCATTTCATGCTGCTGTAAAATACATGAAACTTACGAGCTCTAACCATAGCACACATTTATTCAGTAGAGTTAGTGGGGATGAGAGCGCCCTCTTGTGGTTTCTCTTTGTGAAGTTACAGCGCTTCGATCAGACCCTCCTCCACTTTCTTCGTGCCAAAAAATGATCTGTGAAAATAAAAATGTAGTTCATATTGTATTGTAGTATTGTACCTAAACCCCAGCCCCTGCAGCCAGTCATGAGTCAGTGCTAGTGCAGCCTCTGCAGCTCAGGCAAGGAGGTTCTGGAGGTTCTGAGCTTTCACATGTGGCCTGTCCATAAACTGAGAATGTGACAAATGCAGGATGTGTTTCTTTCTGCAGGTTACAGGTGTTTTTATTTCACAAAAATGCCTTGAAAAACTTAGGTCTTACTTAGACCTCGCCTCTTCACAAATCTGACAAATCTGAACTGACAAATCTGAATTTAACTTGGTTGTCATGGAGACACAGTTTAATGTGAAACTATGGAACATTCCATGCAAAACAATATCTACATGTAAAGACAGACAGAGATACTCGATTGATCCTGAGGGAAATTCAGGCTTTGCTGCAGCAAACTGTTGTTGTTGATGTTGCAACAACATTTTCACTTTTAAACAATTAAAATCTAGACAAGCAGGTGACAGACCCTGCACCAGACAAAATGACAGAGAGCTCCCTTAATCACAGATCCTCTGAACTTAAAGCACCACTGTGTAAGATTTCCTTTATCACTCAATATCGCATCAGATTTGTGAAGTTAGTATTGTTTTTGATGTTCTATGGTAATGGAGTAGCTGGCTGCTTGACTCACAAACTGAGCAGTTTTAAAAACGTTTTGTTTTTGAGCTCAGTTTTTAAGATCATCTCAATGGACTTTAACCAACAAAGAAAAGCAGCATGTGCAAGTCAAAGGACACAAGGGGAATGGGAATTAACCATTTCATCACCGATCTAAACACCAGAGCAGAGTAAGAACGAAGCCTTTCTTGTTGTGTTCACCTGGCGCCCTCTGGAGGCTGCTGTGATGCTACAGGACACAGACGAAGAACACTTTTGGCTCTTCCACAGGATCTGCGGACCCTACCTGACCAGTGCTCCTGTTAAACTGCACTGAGACCTCTGACTGAGACACAAAGGACACTGAGATGTGAAGTGGAAATGTTGCTGGAGAACAATTTGCTGCAGCAAAACTTGAATTTCCCTCCTGATCAGTAAAGTATTTGCCTGTCGATAATCCATAAGCAGCCAGCATTCTTACCGAGTGCCTGGTCTGCTGCTGTATTTCATGAAACACTTTCCACAGCTCCTCGTGCTCCTCTCTCCTCCTGTGCTCCTGCCAAAATGGATCCTCATCATCACCAAAGTCAAAGCAGCTCTTATCTGTGGACAAACACATTATACATTAGATTACGTCACATGAGAGCCTCATCAGTGACAGTTACATTTAGTAAAAAATAAAAAAATTAAACTTTGAGTAAACTGTACTTTTTAGAGTAGCTTTTCTAGTGTTGTTAGAGTGGTTCAGGATATGATTAGAGAAGACACATCTGCCACACGACATAAGACTCCTTCAGAAAGATTGACAAATTTAGCTATAGTAAATCAATGGTCCAATCCAGTTCAGAATACTGACATTTTATTTCATACTTTTGCTTTCATTGTAAAATTACTTTTAAAAACTCAAAATGTAACTTACCAGAAATAAACCTTGGACCTCATTGTCCAATTTTAAATTTTTGTAATCAGTGATACAAACAGGATTCAGCAGTGTAGTCATGCTTAGTAATTTGGTACAAATAAAACATGTTTGCTGCTCGCTGGTGTGATGTGCAGCTGTCCACTGGAGGTGCCAGCGGTTTGTTGTGATCACGTTTATGGAGATCACAGTTTTCTAATGGGTCTAAGTTAGTGGTTGTTTCTTTTACAAAGCAGTTTTAATGAATATTGTGATTTAAAATGTGCAACTTACAACATAATGATCCACAGGTGTTGTAGATTATAACTAGAGAGCACACACATGCACAATAGGTCTTCTTTAACTCAGTGACTAACGTTACATCTTTGCATTGTGTATTTACCTGTGTCGGCTGTGGGAGGAGGCAACACGGAGTCCAGCAGGAGGCGCAGGGAGTGTGTGATCATGCTCTCCACATACCAGGCCACACAAAACATCATCAACAACAACATCAAACAGAATGGTGTTACTACGAGTGACGTCACACATCCACATATTCTGACCCATTCACAAACAGCTTCCATAAAATTGCAGGTACTAATTATGAAATAGTTGTGAAATAATTGATATTGTGCAGCACTTTGGGGCAGTGATGACTGTTAGTAAGTGTTTTATTGATACAGTACTTTGCAGCTGGTAAAAGTGTCCCTCCTCTGTGTCCTGCAGCATCACAGCAGCCTCCAGGGGGCGCCAGTGAACACAACAGGAAAGCCCTCATTACGTATTACTCTCCTCTGGTGTTTTCTGTTGGTGATGAAATGGTTCCATTATCTCAAAGTATTTCCTCTGGAAGGTCTTCTGCATATACACCACCCACCTCACCCGCAAAGCCAACACAACTGTGAGTGATACAAGTCACCCACACACAAACTGTTCAATCTCCCATCCTCTGGAAGGAGGTGTACAACAACAACACAACAGAGTTAGTAATTAATTAAATTAATTAAACCAGCAACCTTTTGACTTTGTCCATATTCTCACTATCCGAAGGGTTGTAGAAAAGGAACAACAATCTATTCGTTTCAGAGTGATAAAAAATGAGGACTGTTGCCATAGTGATTAGCAATTTAAACTAAATATTTATTTTTCAATGAGGGAAAAGTGCTTTCAGTGTTGCATAGAATAGGAAGCTGAAAATTATTCAAATAAAAATTTGACCTTTCCTCAGCTGTTTAAAGGCCCATGTTATGCTATTTGCCGATCTATGTTATAATGTTGTTACCTTCAGCATGAATCTGAAACTGACTCCCTGTGTTTAGTCCTGATTCCTGGCACCAGCTGGAGGCCAGAGTGGAGGAGGCTGTCTCACACTGTGAGGCTGTGTTCACAGTGTGAGATGGTTCATGACACTAACATGTCACAGATGGACTTTGGTGCTCGGCCATGGAGAGACTTGTACAAGCAGAGCCACTTTAACGTCTCTGAGTCACAGAGACCTGAGCAC